GCCGGTTATTTATATGTATACATTTTCGGGATTTGAGCATAGATATATCCTATTTCTGTTGCACTGCAGGTCAGTGACCAGACCTGAACCTTGTAGCTCTCCCACAGATTGTGTATATTTTCCCCATATTGGCACTCTATCCACAGGAGTTTTTGGAGTAGGAGTATCCACAGGAGCACAGAGTAGAGTAGGGACTGGCCAGAGAGGGATTACTTTGACGGAGTTGGCCAGCTTAAACACACACTGCAATGTATGTGAACTAAAAATCCCTGTTTATGTGTAAAGTTTGCTAGAAAGGGTGTATAGCAGTATGCAGAGAGTTTGTTTGCATTTTGGAGAGCAGAGTAAGAACTGTCCAGATAGGGATTACTTTGATGCTGTTGCTCATTTTAGCCACTTTAATACTGGGCACTTTCACACCCTTCCTGTCCAGGCCAATTTTCTGCACTGTCGCACTTTGCATGACAATTGCACTGTCATGCCACACTGTACCCATATTATATTTTTATACATTTTTCACACAAATAGAGCTTTCATTTGGTGTGTTTAATCATCAATGAATTTTTTATTTTTTGATGATAAATGAAAAAGGACTGAAACATTTTTTTTCTTCATTTCTGTATAAAATTTTGCAAATAAATAAACTTTCTTAATAAATTTAGGTCAAACTATATTCTGCTACATTTCTTTGGCGAAAATAACCCAAATCAGTGTATATTATTTAGTCTGCAGGAAAGATATTGTCTCACAAACTATGGTATTTTTTTTTATTATTATTAAAATTGATCAGTCCTGATGTACTGATGGCCTATCTCAATTCTTGAGGCCTGAAAAATGCCAGGACAGTACAAATATCCCCCAAATGACCCCTTTTTGGAAAGTAGACAGTCCAAGATATTTAGTAAGAGGATGGCGAGTTTTTTAAAAGTTGTAATTTTTTTGTCACAAATTTTTGGAAAATGAAGAAATTAAAACAAAAAAAAAATATTTTTACAAGTGCAGTACAGTTACACATTACGAGTGCTTATACCAGTGAATTTCACTGTTATAAGCAAGCATTTTTACCAAATGAAATTGATAAATTCAGTACTGTTATCGTTAGCTGTGATTGGCCACAGCTAATCACGTGGTACAGATGGGCTGTGATTGGCTCTCTCCGTACCATGTGATCACTAGACCAATCACAGAGATCAACACAATAGTACACAATGGATGGCATGAATGAAAGCCATCCATTGTGTACAACTGTCATGTGATCTGTTGTGATTGGTCACAGAGATCACATGGTACCGGTAGTGGCAACTACACTGATCGGTGACAGATCGTGCTGCAGTGCAACTCGTGGAGCATGCATGTGGCAACCACTCGGAACAGTGAATGTCCCGCCCAGCCGTCATTTGACTAAAGGCCAGGCGGAAACTGGTTAAACATGTATTGCAATTTATGTAAATCAAAAATTCTTGTTTTTGTGCAAAGTTTGCTCGAAAGGGTGTATAGCAGTGTGCAGAGGGTTCAGTCAGAATTTTGTGAAATATTGTGGGATGGGAGACCACAAAGCAGATCCAGCCACTCCAGGCCGCACTTACATAATGACACCAGCACTGCCACTGCCTTGTAAAGGGGGGGTGGACATCGGACCATAAACCCCACTCAAAGCCTGGGTTCACACTGATGCATTTTCTGCGCGAATTCTGCAACGCATCAGAATTGCACCCTGTCATGCAAACCGCTGTGGGTGTGTATGTTAACAACACCCCAAAATTGGTGCGATGTTCAGAATCGGATCGCATTGGTGTGACTACCCATGCAATCCGATTCTAGTGCGGACCAAGAAAAGGGTCCTGCACCTTTTTGGTGCGATGCGATGTATGGCTCCATTCGCACCGAACACAATTCGCATGTGATTTGCACAGGAATGCGGTGCAGTTCCTGTACGAATCACATGTGATGTACCGAACCGCATATATGTGAACCCGGGCAAAGAGAGAGAACAGCAACTATTCGTTTTCATTACGGGAAACGCTTTGATACTGCATTACTGCTAAAGAAATAACGAAAGGAAACAAGGATTCAAGTAAGCAAGCTTAAAAAATGCTAAAAGCATTGGTAGTCTTACCGTTTTTTAAAAGGAAACGTATCATATCCAGGTGTCCTCTGTGCGCAGCAATGTAAAGGGCCACACTGGCTCTTGCAGCTATCCACTCATTCCTCTGCTTCACACTAAACCTCAGGGAATTTTCCGTGTTATAGGGATAGGAACTGTCTGTAGTTACTCCTAAACATTTCAGCTACAAAGAAAATGTGAAACAAATAAAATGACTGTACGTTCACATGCACACACCTATTTTGTAGCACATTGGTGGTGTGGACCTACAAAAAAAAAAAAAAAAAAGTCTTGTGAGTCTTTGTGGTTATTGGGAAGAATGCCTCTTAGACATTCTTCCCAATAGGGTAGAATTCTCCTTACATTGGTTGTTAGTGGAAAAAGGGCCCCTTACACTGGGTAGAATAACCCTTTTACATTGGTGGTCAATGGGAAGAATGTCCCTTACACTGAGAAGAATTCTCCTTACATTGTTTGTTAGTGGGAAGAATACCCCTTACATTGGTTGTTAGTGGGATGTGGGCTCCTTGCACTGATTAGAATAACCTTTACATTTGGGGTCTGGGGGAAGAATGCCCCTTACACTCAATAGAATATTTGGGTAGAATTCCCCTTACATTGGTGGTTAGTGGGAAGAATGCCCCTTACATTGGTGGTCAGTAGAAAGACTGCCCCTTACACTGGGGGTCAGTAGGAGGACTGTCCCTTACATTAGTGGTCAGTAGGAAGACTGCCCCTTACACTCGGTACAAAAACTGGGTAGAATTCTCCTTACGTTGGTGTTCATTGGGAAGAATGCCCCTTACATTGGTGGTCAGTGGGAAGACTGCCCCTTACACTTGGTAGAGTAACCCATATATTGGGAGTCAGAGGTAATAATCCCCTTACACTTGGAAGAATTCCCCTTACATTGGTGGTCAGAGGTAAGAATGCCCCTTATACTCAGAATTCCCTTTACATTGGGGTAAGTTGGAAGAATGACCCTTAGGCCCCTATCACTGTCCGTTTTTCAGGCGGACCCGATCAGACCATCCATTGCCCTTTATTAGCAGCGGATGTAAACAGACATGTGTCCATTTATACCTGCCTCCATCCAATCCGATCCTCTAAAACAGATGGATCTGTTCTCCATCCCTCTAGCAGATCAGGTGACATTTGGATGTAAATGGACAGGTGGTTCGTTTGCATCCTACCGCCCATAGAGGATAGCGGGTCTGCTTCACTGATGTGCGTTGATGAGGCTGCACTGATAGGCAGCACTGATGGGCACCGATAGGCGGCACGGATAGGCAGCACTGATAGGCGGCACTGATGATGCTGCACTGATGTGCAACAATGATGGGCACTGCTGGGTACTTGTGGGCGGCACTGGTGGGTGTCACTGCTGGGCACTGGTCATCAGTGCACTAATGATCGGTGCCGATCCATCCTCTGACAATTGCCGGTTATCGGCAGTACTTTCCTGACGCTGTGACAGCGTGAGGAAAGTGCAGCCGATAACCGACAACTGCATTTACCCGGTGATCTGCTGTGTCATTGGACACAGCTGATCACGTGGTAAAAGGCCGCTGTGATTGGCCTTTTACCACATCACGTGATCAGCTGTGTCCTAGGAGGATGTCATATGACACCCTCCCAGAACTGGGCAACCACGCTGCAGCTGTCATTCGGCTACAGCGCGGCTCGCAAGTGGTTAAACATGTCCAGTAAAAAAAAAAAAAATGTAAAAATCAAATTTCGTCATAAATTTGGGCCAAAATGTGACAGCAATCAGGTATTGATGGTCAGTAAATTCTCCTATACCTCTGCTAGGTTTCCTTCAGCTGCAGCTTTTACAAGATCGCGCCAGCCGTCCCGCGACCAGATGCTCAGACAAACGGTCCCTCCAGGAATAATTCCATTGAACTTAAAGGTAGACGAGTCCGGCATGTCCCCTGAAAATCACAAACAGCTGAGATGTTCTGTTACCATAATAAATGCTGTCAATGATGCATGTGGAACATAAAATGGTCTAAAGTGTACAAAGAACACTGACGCCACTTAGGCTCCATTCACATCTGACCGTAGCGACAAAAACATGAAAATCTGCCCAATTTGAGCTACAAAAGTAGTTCCAATACTTTTTTGAGCTTCAGGCGTTCTGCTCCAGGCGACTTGGAGTGGAGATGTGAACCATCTCCATACAGTAATATTGATTTTTTTTCCCTGAGTGTTTTGGAGCTTTGAGCGTCGTGCTACAAAAGGCTGAGGTGTGAATGGGGCCTTATTGAGATATTACCTAGAGGAGATACGCAGGGGTGTGGAAATTTTTGAAAAAACTACTTGTCCAGGGACTAAATCGGTGTCCCAATCTACTTGTCCCTCATGGCACAATCTACAATTGTCCTGATACAAAAACGTAAATTTAACCAAAACCGTATTTAAATCTGCTTTAAGTAATGTCGGGGGATTTTAAAAACAAAAGGGGCTGTATGGCGACTTAAAAGTTTAATATTTTTAACATTGCGCTTTTTATCTCCTCCTCCCCCCTATCTCCTGGACTAGCAGGGAGGGGAGAGACCTTGCAGTGCGAAGAGCACCGATTGGCTGCTCCTCAGGAAAGGGGAGTGTCCGACTTATCCTTTATCCATTTCGCTGTCAGAGCTGTTTTTGCGTTATCTGCACACGTTTAAAAAATCGCTTTAATCCTGAAGATTACATAAACCCCCAAAATATGATATATTTTCTGAAATCAGAGATCCTAGAGAATGCATTTTTGTACGTCACACGATATTATCACAAAATTTCAGTAAAAAAAAATACACTTAAAGCGGAGTTCCACTTGCCCTGTCAAAAAATAAAAACTGTAGCTGCTGACTGTTAAAAAACAGCCACTTACCTGTCCCCTCGGTCCCACGGTGTGTCCCCCTCAGCCCGTTTCACCGGCCGTCCTGTATTCCAGGTGCCGGCATCTTCAGCGTGGGCACCCGGCTGTGATAGCTTGCGGCTTCACAGCCAGGTACCCACTGCGCATGTGCGAGTAGCGCTGTGCTTCTTGAATGGTCCTGTAGTCTTCTGGGACCTGTCACGTGTCCCAAAAGACTACAGGGAGGGAGGGAGGGAGAACACCTTCCGTTTCCGATCGCCTAGGCCAGGGGTAGGCAACCTGCAGCTCTCTAGCTGTTGTGGAACTACATTTCCCATGAAGCATTGCAACATTACAAAACTGACAGTTACAGCTATGACTTGCAGAGGCATGATGAAACTTGTAGTCCTACAACAGCTGGAGAGCCTAAGGTTGCTTACCCCTGGCCTAGGCAATTGGACAGGAAGTGGGAGCAGGTACTTGTCAAATTCGAGTACCCGCTCCCCCCAAAGGTGCCAATCCTTAATCGGGAGCGGGGGAGCAGTCCTTAAAGCAGAACTTCCCCTTTTGGGTTATGTTAATTTTAGGGCACAAAACGCAATAAATTATCCATTTTTTTGTCAAATATAAAAGATGAGGTTCCACCGAGTAAATAAATTTCCAACATGTCAAAACTTAAATTTGCGTGCGCTCATAAAACGGCAACAAAACTTTAGTAACCCTGTATTTTCTATAGGCAACACTTTTAAAGCCCCTTATAGGTCATCAGTATAGTGTTACAGAGGAGGTCTGGTGCTAGAATATTCGCTCTCATTCTGTCGTGCGCGGCGATATGTAACATCTTTATTGCAATCCACGTTTTCATGTGTAGTGTAGGTGCCCAAGCATGTGCTTTTACGTTTGTGCGTGCGTGCATATGTGGGGGTGGGGTGCCTTAAAAACTTTGGGGGTGTTATATGCTTGGGTGTAACTTCCATTTAAAAAAAAAAAAAAAAAAATGTAATTAACTTTTTTTTTTTTTAACCACTTCCCGTCTGGCCCATGTACATAATCGGCTGGATGGGAGCAGTGCAGGGCTGGGTGGACGTTTATAAACGTCCTTCCTGCCTTTGTGCGCTCCCTGGTAGCACGTAGCACCGCGATCCGGTGCCCGCTGTGTCCGGAGGTCACAGCGGAACACCGATCATTGTACAGGACCTCTGTGTGAGGTTCCGATCATGTGATCACTGATTGACCAATCAGTGATCAAATGAAGAGTAGTAAGCAAGATGTCACTTCTGACATCATTACTTACTACTAGTGAAATCTGTGAATGATCACAGAGGTCACATGGTACAGGGCTATTCACAACAGCCTTGTACCATGTGACAAGTTGTGACCAATCACAGCTCACACAGTGTTTCTCAATGGCTGCAGGAATGCAGTCAGAGAGAAGGAGAAATTATTGCTTTTACAGCTTTTATGGGTGTAAAAGCAATTAGTGTAGAAAAAAAAAAACATCACCCCCCACATATAGTACAGTGACACTGCACTGCTAGGGTGACAGTATGTAAAAAAGAAAAAAAACAAAAAAAACATAAATAGTAATATTAAAAAAAAAATGTAAAAAATATTTTTAATAATTATAATTTTTGGCTATAAACTGACTTGGGTTATTTGTTTTACTAAAAAGATAACTGAATACATTTTGGCCAAGATTTATGAAGAAAGATTATTTATTTGCAAAATCTTATAAGAAAAACTTTTTTTTCAAAATTTTTTGACATTTTCATTTATATAGCAAAAAAAATAAAAATCACAGTGGTGAAAAAATACCACCAAAATAAAGTTTTATCTGTCTCAAGAAAATGCTAACAATTTCATATGGGTACAGTGTTGCATGACCGCGCAATTGTCATTCAAAGTGTGATAGCACTGAAAGCTGAAAATTGGCCTGGACTGGAAAGGGCTGAAAGTGTCCGGACTGGAAGGGGGTGAAAGTGTCCGGACTTGAAATGGTTGAATCACATAGGGGACAAAAAGTCCCCTATGTGATGATTTTTGGTGACAGGTTCTCTTTTTTCAGACATCCAGGGTCTAAAAGACCCTGCATGTCTCCCCAGTACTACACTTAATGTAATGCGGTGAGAGAGGCTGACACTCTTCTCCCTCTCATCTGCAGGAGCCGGGAGCAGGAGAGCTGACGGCGAGCCGGGCCCGCAGATGATAAGCGGAGCCTGGGAAACCTCACGCCAGGGGCGCGGAGAGGCTGGCACTGTGTGAAAGCAATCGGCGGCAGCGCATATATGTGAAGTGATCCGAACAAGGGAAGACAAACCGCCAAATCCATGGGCGGCATGCCTCATTCTGGTAAATCCAGGGTCACTCGTACAAAGATGGCCAGATTGTACCGTGTATGGCGAGCGCAAAGGCGATTTCCCCTACCTTCCTGTCTACTGTCACTAAGACTCCATTCACACTTCGCGTTTCCTGAACGCTTGACCACACAATCGAATAGAATAGGCATCATTGATGTAGTCACTGGTCACACCGCTGCAATTTCAGCGTGATTTCATGTGCGTTTTCTGAAGACTTTAGTGCCCGGACACCAGTGCAACTTGAAATCACACCTAAAAATCGCAGCGGTGTGACCGGGCACTAAGCCCCCCCCCCCCCCCCGTCACATCAAACCCGAATTTGAATCGTGAGACTTACAGCGAAGTCGCACGATTTCAAAGTCTGGTGACCTGCTGATTTCAGGTGCGATTTCCAAGACATCTGACACAGATCTCTCTGCAAATCGCACCAAAAGTAGTGCATGGACTACCTTAGAAATCGGTGCGACTCCGACCACGTCTGATCCGCACCGATATGACCGCTGGAATTGTGGACAATAGGGCGTGGCTTGGCATGTGATTTACAAGTCACAGGGCATGGAAATCGCATGTCAATTCGCATCCAATGTGACTGGGGACTAAGTCCTCGGTCACACCGCTGCAAATTTGAAATCGCACGATTTCAGGTGCTGTTGTGCCCCCCCCCCCAGGTATCCTCTAACTGGGGTATAAAGCTGGACTCACACAGGTATATTTATGTCATAGAATTCATCATACATACAATAATGAGCCATGTTTTACCGCCCCCCCCAGGTGTCCTCTAACTGGGGTATAAAGCTGGACGCACACAGGTATATTTATGTCATAGAATTCATCATACATACAATAATGAGCCATGTTTTACCGCCCCCCCAGGTGTCCTCTAACTGGGGTATAAAGCTGGACGCACACAGGTATATTTATGTCATAGAATTCATCATACATACAATAATGAGCCATGTTTTACCGCCCCCCCAGGTGTCCTCTAACTGGGGTATAAAGCTGGACGCACACAGGTATATTTATGTCATAGAATTCATCATACATACAATAATGAGCCATGTTTTACCGCCCCCCCAGGTGTCCTCTAACTGGGGTATAAAGCTGGACGCACACAGGTATATTTATGTCATAGAATTCATCTTACATACAATAATGAGCAGGGGCGGACTGACAACTCATGGGGCCCCCGGGCAATAGGGGATCATGGGGCCCCTGTGTCCTTGCCCAAGCTCATAAAAGCCTATGAAAAAGGTACCAGGGGCATCTCATGGGGCCCCCTACTGACCCCGGGCCCTCGGGCAGTGCCCGAGTTTCCAAATGGTGAATCCGCCCCTGATAATGAGCCATGTTTTACTGCCCCCCAGCCTGCTCACCTTCATCCACGTAGGACAACCTCTGAAGGTGGGTTGGGATCCCAGCCAGCAGCTCCAGCTTGTCTTTCAGCTCTGCCATCTTCATGTGGTGACTACAGCCGGGCACGGGGAACCTCTCCTGGCTCTCCTGGAGTCTCACTTTGATGCTGAAGTGGCTGTCGCGTGAGGTGAGGGTCCCAGACTTCATTTTCCCACCGGGAGCCATGGCAACCAGACAGACACTGTAAACAGGAACTGGTGAGGCTGAACTGGTTGCTAGGTAACCCTGTACCCGCCTCCTCCAACCTATCAGATTGTACTCGGTGTTTGGTGGGGACAGACATGCATGCAGTCATTGGCAGTTATGTCTACCAACCGGTCTTGCCGCTACACCAGAACCGGAGGGGGGGGGAGCGCTATTCCCGCTCCTCACTGACAGCAGAGACACCTCACCAATGGCCCGTTAGCTGAAGCTGGACAGAGGATTCGACTCTTTACCCCTCCAATCGGTAGGTGGCGATAGAGAGCCGATGCTGAGACTGGAACCCAGCTCAGTCTGTGCACGGTGCTGCTAGGTGGTGAGGGCAGACTGCCCTTCTTCCTGTCATGTGACATGGTTGGCGCGAGGAAGCTGCCTCCGAAATACGAATGATCTATGCGTACAGGGGGGGGGGCAACTCTGCCTTAGAACTCCCCAGACCCCTCCAGACGCTATACAATCTGATTGCACAGGCACCTTAATGCTGGCCATACACTATACAATCTGTACAGGCGCTTTAATGCTGGCCATACACTATACAATCTGATTGCACAGGCGCCTTAATGCTGGGCATACACTATACAATCTGGTTATACAGGCGCCTTAATGCTGGCCATGCACTGTTCAATCTGATTGTACAAGCGCCTTAATGCTGGCCATACGCTATACAATCTGATTGCACAGGCACCTTAATGCTGGCCATACGCTATACAATCTGATTGTACAGGTGCCTTAATGCTGGCCATACGCTATACAATCTGATTGCACAGGCACCTTAATGCTGGCCATACGCTATACATTCTGATTGTACAGGTGCCTTAATGTTGGCCATACACTGTACAATCTGTACAATCTCCTTAAAGCTGACCATATGCTATACCATTGCATTGTACAATCTGATTGTATTGTGTATGTCCAGCTTTATCAAAATAATGTACGAGGACACTCCTAAACAATCCATCCGGTCCGTATCCTATCAGGCAGGTCCATACACTACATAGTTGATGGTAGATCTAAAGATAATTGTACAGATTGTATAGTGTATGGCCACCTTTAGTTGCATTGAATGATCATATCGATATGTGTGTGGCCACCTCAACAGGGACAGATGACTGAGGATTAAGCACTTTCTCGATCTGCAAAACTGAAAACTATTGTATGAAGTTGATCTTTAACCCTTCTGCAGCCAAGGGGGTATCATACTCAGTACCAGGGGCGGACTGACAACTCATGGGGCCCCCGGGCAATAGGGGATCATGGGGCCCCTGTGTCCTTGCCCAAAGTCAAAAAAGCCTATGAAAAAGGTACCAGGAGCATCTCATGGGGCCCCCTACTGACCTCGGGCAGTGCCCGAGTTTCCAAATGGTCAGTTGGCCCCTGCTCAGTACTTGATGATCCTACATGAAGGCCTGTAGAGCAGCAATACAAGGATCGGGGTGAGAGCGGCTCAGTGCTTTCATCTCAGCCGTGTATGTAAGTTCACCGATTGATCTGTAGAAGGCCACAGACATTATTCAGCAGAGCACCTAGTCGGGATGCACTGAAATTTCAGTTTATGAAATTGGTGCACCAAAATGAAAATTCTGGTGCCGAAACCGAAAATTCAGGATGCATTTGGCCAAAAACCGAAATGGACAGTTTTTAAA